AATCTTATACTGACCGATATCGTCATGGTTTGAAGGAAACTGACTCCTTGTTCCTTCCATGCTTCTTCCTGTTCCTTGTTCCTCGTAGCTTTGCTTCTCCTACGGAACTGGACTTCCTGTGTGAAACTTTGTATGCTGTCTTTACATAGTAACTACATATGACGAGGTCATGTGAGGGAAGGAATGCAAGAATCTCCCGGAATTGCAAGACTTTGTTTCGCATTCTGGCCGACTTTCTAGCACTTCTCTCTTGATCGGTGTTCGTCTAATGTTCGTCTGTTCATCTAGCCAATAGAACTATAACTGAAATGCTAAGTCATGAAGGTGGTGGCTGTCACGAAAGTCTTCAGAGAATGTCTCAACCATCTTTTGAATTGAACTTACAACCAGTCTGTCAGTCTTACAGCCAACTCCTCAATTTTTCAGACACGTCAACTTTCGAACAGGATCAGAAGCGCTTGGTAGTGCTCTTCAGAAGTATCACTGGCGAGGACTGGAACGACATCATGCATGACTGCATGGTTGGTACAAATTCACCATCTTTTTACATTTACCCTACTCTCGAACTGCTGAAGGGTCACCTCAAAAAAACCTTCTAGAGAAGCCCTCCTTTCTGCTATTGGCAAGAAGGTATGAACTACTGGAATACAGACTGCGGAAACTACTACGGGGCTATAATTTACTTCTGCTCTTTCTACCTTATTATAACCTATATCGTAAGAAACCTGCTAGTGGGTGAGTTGCTACTTATTTTCTGCGTTTTACTCAATAGAAAATTAATCTTTTGTTGTTAGCCATCATCATGGAGAACTTCTCCTTATTCTACTCAAGCGAAGAGGATGCTTTGCTCAGTTATGCTGACATTCGAAACTTCCAGGTGATTTCTTTCCGTGTTCTGTGAACGATGTGCCGAGTAGTTGCGAATGTCTTTAGCTGATATTTTGGACTATCAAGAGGGGAAGCTGATCCCGTTTACTCGCATGTAAACCGCGGCTGGCGGTTGGTGTGAGTAAAATAACGGAGGATGGCATATGACCAAAAGTGGGAGAAAAAACAAAAACGTAAAGTAGCATTATCTCGCCATTAAATTCATGAGTTGCTGAGGTCGTAATAATACCTTATTATGTGACTAACTAAGAGAACAGTCAGTTCACAATTGTTCCGTTCGTACGTGAAGGTCATCGTCGACTGTGAGGGAGGGGGAAGAGAGGCTAGCACATCTATGGTAACATGGGAATAACTGCGCTCAGTTGCGTTGCCCAAACTGACCTGCACTCTTCTGCTTACTTCTGGTTACCCTCGCAAAAAGTGTTCGCGACGATAACAAGTCTTTCCTACATTTATTTAAACTACTGAGTGAAGCTTTCAAGGTCTTTTGGTAACTATAAGCTGTTTGGTACTCTTCAGTTACTAGTGAAATGTCTTCTGCAGCTTAACTTACAACATTTGACGCAAGTTCCTCACCTCTAACCTTCTTGCCTTGTACACATCACCGGTATTTAATCTACTTCTTCAACCCATGGTTGAATGTTGGTATTATCCTAGTCGTACTGTTTAATGCATGCCAGGTTCACCATTGGTGTGTCCATCGCGCGCGAATGTGAGTGCACTGGTGGAAGTGGCCGGGCGAGAGAAGAAAAAATCACGTCAAAACGCGTTAGGTCAAGGGCTCACTCACCTTTCGTTCGCGTCTATGGAATGGAGAAAGCGCAGGAGAGGGAGAGTATGAGGCGAGAGAGCACTACAGAGAGAGCGCCAGACAACAGCCTGATAAGAAAAAAGTCTGCAGCTTGGGCAGCTTACTTTGCAAGGCCTAAGCGCTCTTATCGTCGGTTTCCGTGCACGAGGACGCCACATCTGTGATTGTCCTCTAGGGTTCTATACTAGTGACCGAAGAGAAGCGTTCACACGAACTCTGCCTGGGTTGTGCCTTTAATGTTTTTGTTCTCTTCTTTGTGTATTGGTCTCCTTGTTCGAGTTTTTTTTTCTGTTGACCACTGGCAAGGCTGGCGCACCTTTCGTGCAATAAGTAAATAAATAAATAAATAAAAGAATAGATAAAAAATATCGTTTAATGAAGCGCTAAGCGGGTGTGTCGGTTTGTATGTGAATATCATGTATAGTCGACTATCCCTAAGTGGAGGAGGCGCGCACCGAAAGTGACGTGCACTTGATAGAATTGCGTGGATGACCTGTTGCCAGCATGCTTGCTGACATGTATGTTGGAAGCAGCTTATCCATATGGCTTCTATCAAGTGCACGTCACTTCCAGTGACACGCCTACCCCATCTCTTGGATGTTGAGTATATGTATGCATGTATGCCTGTCCGTCCGCAAAATGAAATGAATGATAAGGCAGCCAATGGAATAAACAACCGCTAGCAAAATCGGGCCCTCGGGGACTTAGTCACCAATGTGTTGATAGGACAATTGTTAATACTGCACGATTTAACACCACTGAGCATACTTCGGTCATTCACCATGCTGCTTAATTTGGTAGCGGAGTTCAGTGTGAGGAGGATGGCAGGTTGGGAGCGGATGGTGAGCGGATTAACCTTCTATGTGAAGTCCTTGGTGTTGCATACACCTTAACACCACGAGGTGTTGGTGTCACAGATAGAAGGTACCACAGCGGAGGACGTAAAACCCACGCAGGGAAGGAAGGTCTCGGCGGTGGACGGGAGACTAATCTGGGTTAGGTATGGAGTCTTGTCTTAAAGGACGAATTCAAAAAAGCAACCCATTTCAAATTAACCTAGGGATGGTGAGTGGTACACGAAAGAAGGAAGAACCATGAGAAACGGCCCAGAACCCGAGAAATGGTACCCCTTCCTTGCCCGTTGATTCGAGCATTGATGCGACTCTCATCGCTGTGCCCTCTTCAACACTACGCTCTCTCAGCTATCTAATCACTCGCCACGTATTGAACTACGGCGAGTGATCAGATGATCGGTGGGCGGAGATTGAGGCATGATAGGTCGCCGAGAGTCAAATTTTCCATGCGAATTGCGCGTCAGTTCGCACCTCAGGAGGTCCGTGGGTCCAACTAGGTCAGTTTCCCTTTCTTCGACCTTCATTCTAATCCACTGTTGTTAATAGCCATTTCATCCTCGTTCCGTCTACATGTATAATGAACATGGTGAGTCCCGAGTTTTTGTGGAAAAATTTTTGGGGCGGAAACTGTCATCGGTCATCAGTATCGGGTGAGAAATCTTGCTCGCTTCCACCAAAAGAGCAGTTGTTCTATGATATAAATCAGGCTGGATACATTGTCCAAAGAATTAAATTAAAAGCACTGAGGAAAATGCATGAAGTTCTCTGTATGGAGTGGTTGCAGGCATTTAGGATTTGAGTGCAGTGGATCAACATGAAAAGATGTGTGTAGATCTCTATTAATTTAGCTAGTTTGGAACATGGTGGACCGCGAGCAGAAACGATCGATACCGGTTGGCAGAGTCAAATTTCTGTTAAGGTTGCTGAAGGTAAATGCTTCTATTCGTAGTTCGGTATTCAAGCGTATTTGAATCCATGCGCTCATCTGTATTTCGAATTTGTACCACCAATTTGTTGAAACTATCTTACATTAAAGACAGCACTGATTTGTACGAGCACCTTCAAATAACCGTTAATACATTGACGACAGCCTGAGGCGGTAACGCGTCCAGTTTCGTTTTTATTTCCTTTTGTAGTTTCGATCCGCCTTGGTTTGCCGTATGCTCAAGAGGATTTAGTTTAGCTGGGATTTCTGAGCATATGAAATTCGGGCGGAAGTGGTGTAGTGACAAGTGGCGCGCTCACCACGCGAGCGGTCCGGGATCAAATCCTGGGTCGTGAGTCGCCCGGGCCAACCAAGCCTTCCATCCCTCCGGGGTCGGTTAATTGGTACCAGACTTGTCTGGGAGGATAAAAACACTGACTTGAACATCGGCTGGCCCCGCAAGTCATTGTATAGGCCACATCGCATTCAAACGCCACTACGAATGTACAAATGGAAGTAGAATGCGTGCCGCATCCCAAAAGGGATTGATCAACGGCAAATGCTTTATCCTTTTATTTTTTTTAAAAGCTTGATTCATTCATGGCAGCTTGATTCACTCCTTGTTCTTCTTATTCTCATGACCATGTAATTGAAGAAAAGTACCCTGGTGTGCAAAACCTAAGGACGAGAGTAGCTTGCTGCTTATTCTCATTGTAGCATACAACGCTCAATGTACAGGGTGGGCAAAAATTACGGTAACAGGATAAAGTGTTCATGGAAGAGCAATTCGGCCAGCAAGACACACGTGGACCCCAACAATGTATTCATAGGAGGTCACCAGACAGAATACAACATCACTTCTTGGACTGGCCGCTGTTTGCGTTTATACCTGAATGAAGTCATCTCGGGAACGCATATGGCCTGTTGTGTAGGTAGGTGACATCGAGCTTACCCTAGGATCTTCTTTAATTCGTCGATGCTTTAGTGATACTCGTAGTAGCCCATCGTCTTCAGTAGACTCCACGGAAAATAACCCACTTGCTTTAACACGGGAAAATAAGGTGGCCCCTCGTTCAATGGCATGAATTCGGAAAATTCTGCAAAACCAATGTTGCACAATATTTGCTTTGTGCACAAGCGGTCTACCTTGCTGTTGTGTCTAGTGATTTCTCTCCGGGGTCTCTTCAACCAGGTGCATTTATTAGGTTCGAAGGAAATCGAGATGTTTGGTTAGCGCTCTTGTTACCGTAATTTTTGCCCACCCTGTACATTCGGCCCTACGTAGGAGTTGTTACACTGTAGTTTGGAGGGTTACTAACAAAAACACGCAATAGGACGATTGGAAAGCCACTTTTAAAGACTTCGACTGAAGTGCCTGATGGGTGAAGGTACCCCAGTTCATGCTAACTTTCAGAAGAGAGGAGCTGGTTCTCAATGGTTTATAAACACTGCGGACTGCAAAGCATGCTCTGCTACGTGCTCCCATAGTAAGCGCAAGTTTGTTCAAGAATTTTTATGGAGAAGCGTTCCACTCCTTGAACACCGCGATTTACAATTGCTGGACAGCTCAATGCATGCCGCACGTGCTCTATAGGATCTGAGTGGAGATGCTCATCCAATCGCCGAAGATCCTCCCGTTTCGAGAGTTTTACAGCTAGGCTGCTCGATGCGCTGCTAATGGGAATTCATCAAACGCCCTTGAAAGATGCGCGTGAAAGAGCTCTACAACCTCACAATAACGTGGATCAGAAAGTGTAGCGCGATCACGAGTTGGGGGTCAGAACGCCCCGGCAACTTTATGCCTCCCCACACCATATCGCATGGACTATCAAAACAATCATGTTGAACGATGGTCCTGGGTGCATTACATGTGATCATTCTCATCCATATGTGTGTAAGTCTAGAATTACTATACACTCAATCTTGCTGTCAATTGAGAAGAGCCGTGACCCTCCAATTTGGTGATCCATTCCCAATGCACGGCACCTAGCAACACTTTTCGCCATTGCGCAGATTCAAAGGAACACAGGTACTGTTGGTCGGTAGAGAGACCATCCCTATGCGGTCACTGTGCCACTGGGATTACGTGCCTTACAATCCTGATAAATGTTTTTGCAACTGCAGCATGTGACTGACGTGGGTCCATTTTTGCCTGTAGCAAAACCTAGCAATCACCTGCTGTTGCGGTTGTTCGTGATCCACCACCTCCTCTTCTTGGAGCAGCAGTGGCTGAGGTCGCAGCAGTGGCGCGTTTTGTGCTCCTCATGCGCATAAAACAATGCTGTGACCAACACCAAATTCCTGGATCACACTCGAAACACATTTTCGTGATGCCAGTTTCCCGGTGACTCTTCCTCGTTTGAAGTGATCCTAATACTGTTTCTGGAACCTGCTGTAGTAAAGAACACCACTACATTCTACAGCAACTTCGTCCTGTTCCACCAATCTCCTTGTGCTGATTGTGAGTGGCCAGTCCCTTCTGGATCACGCACGATTGAGGCGGACCGCATGACAATTGTGCATGATTGGAAGACCGTCAGCATCATGCACGCACATTCATCCATTTCCGCGATGGGTAACGTATCAGTTTGTCACTTTATCCATCTCTGGTCGTTAAGTTTTGCACATCGGTATAGGAGATGTAAACACAAACAGCTACGGCTTAGAAAAAAACAGATGTCTTGTCCTGCATAGCCATGTTACAAATACTTTTTCACGAAGCCATCACAGAGGAAAATAGTAAAATTTGCTGTATTTTCGTGACCATTACACGTTCTTTGATCCGAATTTCACGAATATACCCTCAATTAACTCCTGCACATTTAATATTGTTGTAAAGGTGTTATCATTCGTGTTCTGTATAGTTACCCCCTAAAATTTGTGATATGAGGCGAGGTGGCCGCGCTCGCAAAATCGCTCCTGCCCCACGTGGCCAAAAAAGCTAGAACGCGCGGTGGCATCAACGTGTTAAACGTGTTATGATCCCTTTTGATCTGTTTGAAAGTAAAAATATAGGATAGGATCTGAATGGTTTAAATTCGCCTTGTCACCACATCAAATTTTGTAAGGCTAAAAAGACGGTATCATAGTCAGGACGGCAGTTCATTCTTGATTGATACACACATTAGGTAAACAGGAGTAAAATCACGTCCTCAAGACGTACGACTATTGACTTGTCAGGCCCTAAGTGCTGACGTCAGAGTTACGATCCGTTGCATGGTTTCTGCCGCATATCGCTAAAATTGCAAGTGCCTCATTTTAACATTTGAAACACTGAATATGAAACAAGTAGAAACATGAACAGTCGTCATTCAGCCACCACCATCAAGCAGAATTGGCGGCGGGATGATGGAGAGCACTTTGCAGTATTGATCGGGCCGTTGTGACTTCTGTAAGCCGTCGCGCGAATCGCGCGAATTGTGCATGCGACGGATCGCGGACTCTGACACCAGCCTGATACTGCAGTTAGCCCACCGCCTGGAGACTAAACTCCATATTTCTCAACGTTTGTTGGCGCCAAAGTGCTAATCACGTCGATTTTTGAGGGTCGTCTAGAAGTGGATCCAGACAAAGACCGGGTCTTATTCAAGCACATGTGCTATGAAATGGACAAACTGCACAATGGTGACGACGTTTCCTTCCACGATGTGCTTTAGTGAGTTCTTTTGAAAAATGGAAAAGGTTTGGCACATGAAGTATAAATTTTGTTTGCTACTGCTGATAGATTGCTACAATTGCAAAAAGCTAAAACTCAAGGTTGCACTCTATTTGCAAACCGATGCATGTTCAATTTCAGCATGCTCTCCTATCGCTCTGTTGACATTCGTAAATCGCTGCAGCTCGAGGAACTTTTGCAGGTAACCATCAAAACCTGTGAAAATCAACGAAATACTCAAAACGAGAAAGTTTAAGCACTTAGATGTTGGTCATTCCCTTTCTGGGAAGTGCCACGCACTACATTAGGTTGCAACTATTTCTCAAAGGAATGACAAAATGCTGCTCATCGATCTGCGCGGGAGTTTAAAACCATATCTAGGGAGGGCATTCCTTCATATTCGCCAATTATCTAGGTCCACAGGAACCGGGGAAATTCCATTTCCTGAATATTTCCACCAATATTTGGCACTGTCTTCTTTGTAGCGTTCGACTCTTACGCGAAGCGAGCTGAGCCAGCTGGGAAATACATAGCGTTAACACATTGACGCCCGCGCCGATTTCGGCGCATGTCACACATGTGTCATTGGCTGTATTGCGTGCGTGCATACTCGGCGATGCACAAATCTCATATGTGGGACATTTTGTGGGTTTTCGTTGCGGGACCCACATGGCCGATCCATTGGAAAGGGCGCGAGAGCTTTCGTTTTCGTATACGAATCATGGTCTTTTTTCATTTTGCTTGTCATTACGTGTTTATAAGTTCAATAAGCGTTAGCTTGTTTCGTACGTATTTTTGGGAGTCTTTTTGAATACCGTCACTATAGTAAAACCATTTTGGATAATGCAGGCAGACGGGTGTGAACTTCCACGCAACTTCCTAATCGTTTTTTTGTCTAGTAACGTCAATCACTTACTGCGCTGAGGATGTACTCCGCTGCGAGCCTGGAGGCTATATTGCACGAAAAAAGCTAAGCAAGTTCCCTCAAAATGATTCGCTCTTTCAAAGCATCATAAATTTGTTGAAATTGAAGTTGTCGACATGCCACATGTTTTACGGATTCATGAGACTAACAGAAGTCAAATAGTCAAAAAAGTACTGAAAAGGTTCATGGGGAGCAAAATACAGATGTGCATACCCGGCGATGCACAAATGTCAGATGTGGGAGTTTCGACGTGCATACCCGGCGATGCACGCGGGCTGCAATGTGTTAAAGAAGTACTTGACGCGATAGGCAAAAAACACTGACATCGGCTGCAACAGTGTTAGGCGTTCGTCAGACTCGGGCGATTGTGAGAGCGACGG